TAAGTGAAAAAAATGCGAAAAAAGGGATGTTTGCTTACCACAAGCAGAATTCAAAGAGGACAAAAAAACGCGGAGGCGGGAGCCCAGCGGCAGCAGAAAAAGGGCCTGGTAGTAATTTATAGCAGGGGCAGCAATGTGCTGAGCGTAATCACTCAGGACAACCGTAGGGAAGGGAGGCAGGAGGAGGAGAGAGAGAGAGTCAGGCCGGTCCAAATATTTGGCCCACCTTCGCCGCGGCCTCCACCACTCGGCCCGAGCCTTACACGTAATTGGTGCGTCATTTGGCAGCCAATCAGAGCACAAATAACCATGAGCTCAGTGCAATGTTTTTTTAATGAATGCACGGCTGTATCTCCCCCCTCTGGCACAATGCAGACATGGGTCCTGGATACTGCCCGGAGATGTTCTGACTTAAATCAGATTTTTACCTGCAGTTTGAAATCCTGTGCTCGAGAATGTGCCGAATCCATACAAGTCCTAATTAGGACATGACCCTTAACTACCACAGCTTTCATGAACCATCATGCCAAGTACCTTACAGTTGCCGGCCATGCTTCAGCAAATTAAAGTAGTGTTCATAAGTACTCTGCTACCCCTCAGTGAGTCTTTCCCAGTCCATTTTGGCTGTTCTCTGAAATAATAATTAGTACAACATATTTAGTAGTGAAGCCGTGCATGCAGCAGGATGGTATGAGCTGAGTTCCACCAGTTGAGAGAGAAAACAATGCTCAGGCACTATGTGCAGTGACAAGTGTTTACTATCTATCACGTATACCACTTGAAAGTCTTAGATTATGCAGGGAAGGGAGGTGTCGGAGGCCGCATTGGAGGTGTTGGAGGTGGTGTCATCCCTTGAACCATTCAGTTTTCTTTGTGTTCAACTGGAACTAGAGAATATGATACAATATGTGAACCTTAATTGAGAATAAATACCTATATCGGAAGCCAATGTCAATTTTTAGTAGGTGTGGGAGGCCTCCGATGGCCTCCGACACCTCCGATGGCCTTCGACACCTCCCATGGCCTTTGACACCTCCTCTGATGGCCTTCGCCATCTCCGACACCTCCAGTATTTTCCAGTATCTTGCAAGTACACATCTCTGACATGGACCTTAAGGATCTATCTGCATGGGATGGAATCATTAATAAGTAAATGTCATCGATGCTTGAAACACAAGAAGCGAACCCTAAATAAAAATATTCCGAGAGTAGCAGAAAGCTCGAGGCCTCCAAAGCCTTATGCACTGCTGATGCTTCTGGAATACACAAGCTACTGGTATGGTTATAAACCTGTGGGACATAAACCTCCATACTTTAATTCATCGACCATACTCAGCAGATTTGACAGTAAGTAGGAGATTTGCTATTGATTGAATTCAAGTCAAATCAAGGTACAAAGACAGAGCCCTATATTTGTGGTGATAGTGCAATACCTTTGATATTCATTTAGAACATGAAGATCTACAGCAATGGGTTTGACAGTGCAAATATCAAACTGGAAGCAGGATGGAGGCCTCCGACTCATCGGGAGACTTCTTGAACAGGTGAAGCTTTTGCCAAAACAGGTTCCAACATGTGGGACCCCTTCCGATGGTCTATGTGAATAGCTACATTCACTGGAATTAGGCAGGTAGTGCAGCAATATCAAACCGGGGATGGCGAAGGCCTCCGACGCAGCCTCCGACGTGCTGGGAAGCCTCCCAAGCTGTTCAAACTATCTCACCAGATGAATTCACCTGTGTGTGAGTTCCTTATCAATGGCTAAAGTCACTGGAATTAGGTGCATGGTGCACCAATATCAAACTGGGGATGGTGGAGGCCTCCAATGCAGCCTCCGACGTGCTGGGAAGCCTCCCAAGCTGTTCAACTATCTCACCAGACGAATTCACCTGTGTGTGAGTTCCTTATCAATGGCTAAAGTCACTGGAATTAGGTGCATGGTGCACCAATATCAAACTGGGGATGGTGGAGGCCTCCGACACAGCCTCCAATGCGCTGGGAAGCCTCCTGAGCAGTTCAACTATCTCACCGGATGAATTCACCTGGGTGTGAATACTTCCAAGTTCCTTGCCAATGCTGAAGCCACTGGAATTAATTTTCTGGAGCATCTAACTGGCCATGTCGGAGGCCTCTGATGCATTAGGAAGGCTCCCAAGCAGTAAAAAAACCCCACAGAGCAGATTCCCATGTGCAGGACATCTTCCAATGTTCATTGTAAATAGCTGCAGTCACTGGAATCAGCTTTATGATACACAAATATCAAACTGGGAAGCTGTAGGCCTCCGACGCATCCAGAATTTCAACATTAATTATGAACCAAGCAAGGAACAAGCATGGAAAGCAAACTCAAGAAAACACACAGTATATGGTACCCAAGAAGAAGCCTAATTGGAGGCTGGAAGAGGCTGTGATGTAGGTGGAGGAGGCCACGACGGAGGTTGCTGCCCCGATGCACCGTCGGTGGTGGGAAACTGAAGGAAGATCCCGAGAGCTCACGCGAAGGGCATTTATCAGCAGATGACATAACTATTATTAATAGACCTACCCCCTCCGACGCCTACAGGGCCTCTTAGGGGGGTTATGCTCCTACAACATAACCCCCCCTAAGAGGCCCTCACGTGACCGCGCCGGTGCTCCCTGGGGTGTCTAGTACTAGGAAATCGAGTCAGAATCCAATTGGCCGTGCGACGGAGAAGAGGCACACCTCTGATCCTGGAGTGGACTGCCATCGAGCCTCGGGAGTATGTATGAGGGTGGGAGCCCGAATACTGGACGTGAATCGTCGCCATGCGACTTTTGTGGGGAAATTTTCGTCCATTCGCCCGTATGGCGAATCATCCGCGGGCGTCTTTGACATCGAGTGTTCTTTCTAGTACTTCGTACAAGCCAAGTCAGGACGATAATTCAATTCGAGGACAATAGAAACACACCTCGACGTCCCGCACCGCGGGCCAAACGCGCTCTACCAGCGCGAGCCGACTTGAGGCCTCACGGCCTCGACCATGAGAGGCTGCTCGACGACTTGCACGGGACGACGCATGTTGTTCATCGTATTGATGACCGTGCCGCGGCGGAAGAGGTCGTCTTCCGACCCCGGCGCGGCGTTGTCTGCAGTGGCAGTGTACGCGCGAGGGGGCAGGGCGATGGTCAGACTAGGCATCTGCGCTCGAGCTTTGGCGAAGCTCTCGGCGGAGCTCGAAGGGCGCTTGGAGAAGTGTCTCCCGAGGATCGGCTTTTCAACCTTGGAAAAGGTTAGAGGTTAGAGATGGGAAGGAAGGACTGCGACGCACCTGGGGAACGACTGGCCGCTTGTCGTCTCTCGGCCCGGACTGTCTGTACACCCAGTAGAGGGTAGCGAGGAGCATGCAGACGAAGAGCGCGAGGCCCAAGAATCCGACCCAGCTTGGGAAAAGGTACGGCGCCGGTGCGCCGAACAAAGTCGTCGAAGAGCTTGGGTCAGGGACGGCGCTGTCGGTGGCGGTCGCAGTGTCGACGTCGCGGGCGGTGGGGAGGTAGTGAAGAGGAGCCATTGAGTATGTGGGTGGTTGGGTGTAGGGTGATTTCGATGTACAAAATCTGTGGAGAAGGAGTAGCTGAGCCGCGGGACTTTATACCCCGCACAAATAGGGGCTGAGACATTTTGCCCCCGCCATGTCTAAGACTTTGAGATTCTGGGCCCCGTCTGGGATGGCCCAGAGCGGCGTCTGGAGCTCTCTGGCCATCGATGGGTTCAGTACCTTTTCGACACGAAGTGGAGCCTCGGCATCAAATATTGGTGGAAGTTGAACAGTAGTGCACGTGATCGCGCCTGCTGTGTTCATTCGTTTCCCATTGGTTTCCTGCGATAAAAATCGACGGGAATGACTAGCGGACTTCAAAATGCCTTGATCTCTGGTGAGCGGCTCAGCGTAACCTGCGGTATGTGCAAAGGCCAGGGACCGGTAGATGTTCCGTGTCCAGTCTATCACTGACAGTTGAGGTTGGTTGGCAATCCAAGTGCTGCGGTCGTTAAAGACAATAAAGGCTCGGGGGTGGACGATCAACATCCTTATTTCAAGCCACGGCAGTTGATGCAGAAGTCGTCCGTTCGAATCGGGTCTGAGCCATGGGCGGTTGAAGTAGCATAATCATTTTTATTGGCTTCGGGGAGGCTCAAAAAATGCTCAGATTATTGAGAGTAGATAGAAGGAGGAAGGCTCGGTGGTGGATGTCCACGTCTGCATTTCATGGTCTGTCTGCTGGGTGACGATTATATATGCAGCAGGAGCTCGTTCGATTCGGGCCCGAGCCATGTGTAGGGCGTGGGGTCTTTTTTGTTGACCGCTGTCGGGACCTGCCCTGGCAGCCATCGAAATTATATCTCGTAGATATGACCTCCGCTTCATAGAAGGAATGGCCATCCACGGAGCCATGTGGAATCTTGAACATCATTTTTGGTTGAACTTTGTGAATTCTTCCTGATCACTCGAGATATGAATTTAACGCTCATAGAGATGATCCAGGGTAGGATACAAACAAGGCTCCTTGGTGGGAGGTCCACATCTGCATTCCATGGCGGTTTGCAAGGGAAGGTTATGCAGAAGGAGCTCGTTCAATTCGGGTCCGAGCCATCTTGATTCAACATCATCTTTTTTTACCGCGGTGAGGCTTCGGGAGGCTCCAAAAATGCTGAGATTGCTGAGGGAAAATAGAGGGTAGGAAGGCTTGGTGGTGGGTGGTCCACATCTGTATCCAATAAGAATTTCTGCCAAGAATTTATGCAGAAGCAGCTCGTTCGAATCGGGCCCAAGCCATTATTGATCGGAGCAGCGTTTTTTTTCTCCCTTCTTCTTCAGGCGCAGCAGCTGGAAATTCTGGTAGATGCTCTCCGAGCCTGTCAGAGCCAGTGTTCGACGAGCCCACGCAGGAAACCTGTTGGAAAAAACCTCAACTTTGTCAGTGAATAGGGGCCAAGTTGAATTTCTGATACATATAATGAGAGACGTTTGAGGACTAAGAATGGCTTGGTGGTGGAATGGTTCACATCTGCATTCGATAGCCTACTCTCTTAAGCTGTTTATACAGAAGAAGCCCGTTCGATTCGGGCCCAAGCCATTGGTGGTCGAAGGGATTTTTTTTCGTCTTCTTCTTCTTTTTCAGGCGCAGCAGCTGGAAAGTCTGGTAGATCTCTTCAGAGCCAGTGTTCGAGATCAAGCCCGGAGTGGAAGAGGAGGAAGTCTGTTTGAAAAACTTCTTCAACTTCGAATAGGGGCCATCGTGCATATACGTTGAGATATGACGAGAGGTATTTGCGAACTGGGAAGGGCTTGGTGGTGGAGTGGTCCACGTCTGCATCTGATATAAATTCTGCTGTACAATTATGCAAAAGTAGCCCGTTCGATTCGGGTCCAAGCTATGATTTGGCAGTGGAATTGATTTTTTTTCTGCAACAGCAGAATAAATTCTGGTTGACATGATACGAGGCATTTGAAGGCTAGAAATGGCTCGGTGGTGGAATGGTCCACATCTACATTAAATGTACCATTGTGAGTAAAGTTTATGCAGAAGCAGCCCGTTCGACTCGGGTCTGAGCCATGCAGAGGTGGAAAGGGTTTTTTCTCTCTTTGTCTCGATTCTCGAGATCTCTACATCATCTGGTCGGTGTAATCCGAATTGTTTTGAAGCTGTATAAGTCATTTTCTGGACAACTTTCGAGCGCGAGCTATAACTCGCCGGGTCCAGGTTTTCTTCGAAGCGATACGTGTCTGTTTCCATGAGCCACTCAGAAGATTTGAGTGTTAAGCGTGGGGGCTGTGCTGCGGGGTTGCATTGCCGTCGCGATGATTCCTACTAGCAACTCCTCTGAATGAACAGAGCCTACACCCCGTTGCCTGCCCCGGCCCAGGACCCATCCGCCTAGTACCCACCGGGCAGTCGCACCAAGGCCCTCCTCTCCCGCCTCGCCCCCACTGCACCCCCGCCCCGGATCCGCCGTCTCCTCGTCTACCTCGTCTTCTCCGCCTCCCTCTCCAGCCCCTTTGCCTTCTCTTCGTTCTTGCGGAACCCCTCGGTGGCGTCTGCGTCGGTGTATGCAGATGGGGCAGGGTACGTGGGGCCGGGCGACCCACGGACCCCGTTCTTCCGCGACCCGCACCCGACGCTGCACGCGCGCCTCCGAGTCTTCCTCGCGCGCGCAAAGGCGGCGATCACCATGCAGCGGCTCGACATGTACGGGGGCCAGCTCGGAGGCCGCATGGTTGACGCGTACCTCGCCGCTGCCGTGCCCTATTGCACTCTGCCATCAAATACTACTTCTTCACACGAGCAGAACGAGCACGGGCTGCACGGCAACGGAGCAGCACAAGCAGCATAACTTGCTTCCCCGCACGTGCAGGGGACGGGACGCCGAACCAGTGGTGGCCGTACCCGCAGGCCTTCTGCGCCAGCCGCAACCTCGCGCACTCGCACGGCTGGGACAACGACCTGCGCGGCCGCGGCCTGTTCTCCGGGTGGTGCGCAGTTACCGAGGCGGGCGCAAATCTGAAGGCGGACATGGGGAAGGAGGTGTTCCTGGGCACGGAGTTCGACGATGCGGTCAACTCTCAGGAAGGAAGCGAGGACAAGGAGGGGCATGGGCATGGGGAGCAAGCATGCAGCGAACGGGTCACGCACCCAGTGCTCTTCGTCCCACGGCGGGACCGGTGGAACCCGTTCCACGTTGGCGAGGACCTCGTCACGACCTTCCTTGCGCTCACTTTGTTCTCACGGCACGTCGCCCCCTCCGCCTCCTCGTCAGCGAAACTGTGGGCGGCGCTGCCCGCTGCGCTCGCCTCTTCCTCTTCCTTTGCCGTTGCGTCCCCCTCTGGTGGTATGTACCTCGAAGACGCTAACGCTGCGCAGAGCTGGAGTCCTCTGGACAGTGCTTCTCATCTGCTTCCATGCGGGGCCTAGAATAACTCAGGGCCTAGAATAACTCAGTTGTCCGTCATCGCTGACTTACTCATTTTCAGCTCGTTGTGTATTCAGAAAGAGGGGTGCCGTACGCATCCTCTCCTGCAGCGTCTTCACTCCTGTCCTGCCCGGCTCTAGGTTCTCTGCTTTCCCCTGCTTGCCGTGTCCATTCCCGTGCTTGTCAGTGCATCCGGGCCCGTCTCTTGTCTCTGCGTCGACCACGATCTCTGGAACCGCACTCGGGCACATCAGACCATCCTTCCATCTCGCCTGTTCTATGTGGCGTCCGATTCCTTCAACACCTTGTTCATCAGGATTTCATCCCGCATCCTCGCGCGAGAATCCTGCCCTCGGCTCTGTCTTGTTTACTCTAATATTGCGCAACACCGGTACCATTTGCAGACGAACAGAATAGAATATCGTTCTCACTCTTCGTGCTCTCCGCTTCCCCATTGAAGCGCTTGATGCGTGTTGAAGCTTGAACTCGAAAACCCAAAACAACCACCCCAAACCAATCAACTAAGATGCCGTCCAGCAGCAATCCGTTCCAAATCCTTCCAACTAACGAGTCCGAGTCCAACAACACAAGTTGCGCGCAAGTTCGGGAGGTTCCTGTCAAAATATATGACAGTTGCGAATTCAGTAAGTAGTTTGTGTAAGTCTTGAGAGCAAAGATTGTAATCCGACCAAGTCAAAGCCCAGATTCGTTCCGTTCCGTTCCTGTAAGACACACAGAGAGAAAGAGAGAGAGCGAGAGAGATCACGGTGTAACCCGGGCGTAAAAAAATTGTTCCTCATCTACAAAATACACATCCCTTTTATACTACAACTGTTTATCTTTGCCAAATAATCATCCGCACCCATAAGTTATAGGTCCTAATTTTCCGTAACCAGGCCCTCGGCCTATTTCGTGAGGAGTTTCGCCCAACCCAGGACAGTTTCCTTCTTAATCACAGCTGTAACCGAACTACCAAGGCCGTGCACAATGGAACCCATTGTCCTATGGGTATATTTTCGGTACGTAGCATTCGGCTTTTCAACGGCTGTGCGTTCCCAAAGTACCCGCTTGCTGAAACACGTTTGGAGTGTGTTGCGACGCGTCTTGACGTGTTTTGACGTAAAACCACGTGACCACCGCCATTGTTCATCCAGTGCGCCATTGCGCATTGTACCCATTGATGTCCCCATTGTTCAATGGCTCATTGTTCCACCATTGTTGTCTCCATCATTCATTGACATGAGCACTGCCCTGTTGCACAGCCTCCAATCTTGCAGAAATCAGGGTTTTTCTTTGATCCGGTATGTTTTCCTCCGTGAAATCAGTGCCACCTCTTCATCTCCCTCTTTCATAACTTCTGACTGTCCTCAGTCAGGTATGTCGGCACTTTCCTTGCGCGCGGGCTGGCACAGCCTTGTGACGTAACCATCGGGGATCAATCGATAGTGAGTCAGGTCCCCGTGGGATTTTTCCCACCTTTTTCCACCTCTTCCTCTTGCCACACGGACGTTATACGTCGGTGTCGCTTGGACTACCATCCCTTTCCAATGTTTTCCCCTCAAGACTATTGTTACACTGTGCCCCGCGGCTGTCTTACGTCTACGCTTGCAACGCCTCGCACCGCCCATTGTTCGGCCCCAACAATCTTCTTCCTGTTAACCCGCTATTGTGGACCACCGCCCATAGTCTCCACTATGGCATGTTATCAGCCATTATCAGTGTGGCCCTCACTGTCCGATGCGCCCTTTATTCTTCCATGCATTTTCTTGCTAATGGCCATTGTTTGTAGTCTTTTAAAAGCACCGCCGCTACTGCCGCTGACCCCAGCACCACTCGCCTCCTTTCGCATCCAACTTTTTTTTTTCGACTTTTAATTGTATATTCTTCGTCACATTATGCCTTCCCCTTCTTCGAGCGACTCCGTGCCGCTACTCCCGCTCTTTTCATCACCTCGACCGGCCCCAGTCCCGTTCGGCCCCGCTTCCATTGGCTCAAGCCACTCGAGCCCTCCACCCGAAGGCTTTGTTATGCCGCAAATTCCACCGCCGAACTGTCCGCTCCGTGTTACCCATCACAACGGCCACCGCCAGCTCCCACACGTCTCCGACAATCCCCTTCCGGTCGATCACGAACGCGTTATGAAGTTAATTAAGTATCGTGATGTGCGTCCGCATTTATATCTCTTTTTCCGCCCCGTACAAATCCTTACACGGTCTTCAGGTTGTCGCGAAGTGCGCGAACTGTGCCGAACTTGCCATAGACTGTGATTTCTCAGAAGCCGGCATCCCCTGCCCCCCTTGCGCAGTCCTCGGCATCCCTGATTGCAATTATGCGGACCCGTACTTCTTCGTCTCAAACCTAGCCAATCGCCGTGATGCATATCTTCATGACGAGCATGCCGTCCTTTGCGCTGCCGTCTGTGACAACCACCTTGCGGCATCCCAATTTGGCATGTCCCTTTGTCTGCTTGTCTGTCGCATTCGGCTGATCTTCTACTAGAGCGTGAGTATGAACGGGCCTCCGCCTGGTTCTACTCGGCCGCTCAGGGTGCCATCACCCGTTTTCTCGTATGTCCTCCTTTTCTTCTATCTCCGCACACATTTCATTGACTCGATGCAGGTTAATTGTCACGCCACCGGTGGCCTTGCCTTCCGCGGGTATCAGCGTCTGGCGGAGTCCTCCACCGACACCGGCCTTTTATCCCGCTTCCTAGTCTTTGGCCACGACGCTCGGATCCACCCCTCCGTCCTTCAGGCCGTCGCGGATCGCCTCTACTCCTTGTTCTTTTCTCTTCTTGAGTCGTAGCCGCGTGCGCATTTGTTTTCTTGGATTTACTTGACAATATCTTGTATTTTTCTTGGTCATTTTGTTGAATGTACGGTGGAATCTTTGGTGCCAAAAGTTTTTGTGTGATGAAACATGTCTCGTTTGAGTTGTCTCACACGCCCTGAGACACATCCGCGCCTCATCCGCCCTTGATCTTCTCGCACGTTTTAGGTCCAACAATTATTCTTCGTCTTTTTCATTGTCTTTTTGAACACTGCCACGATTTTGCGACCCCATTGTTTAACGTGTCCACATCTAAGTACGTGTCGCCCTTTCCCTTTTTCATTGCTATTAACTGTCTCAGTTAATAGTTTTGTGCATGGTCCTGCACGGTATAAAAGGTGCGCCACTCCAGGCTGTTCTCCATCTTACTCCTTTCACCTTCTATTTTTCCTGCCGCGGGCTCGGCTGCCTCTCCTTCTCCCTTTATGTCTTCATTTGACGCCCCCCGTTTGGATAAGGCCGAAGAAGATGCTGTCCGAGCCCTTCACAAGTCTGTCTGGGCAACCGCCTATGAAGATCCTGTTGATCAGGACGCTTTTCTCATTGCCTCCGCTCGCTCCGTGGTGTGTTTGTCCTTGCCCTATTCAATCCCTTTGACCGACCATCATCAGCTTCAGTTCCGTAAGCAAGTCGCATCATTCGCTTTGACCCCGGAGGTCGGCGAGTGTGTGTTCACGATTCGCTCAAAGCTGGCCCAAAATAACTCTCGCCTCGGAGCTCCTCCCGATGATATCTTTTCCTCCATCACCAATTTCGCTGGCGAAATTGCACGCTCTCGGCAACTCTACCGTGACCGTAAGCGTGCTAAGGCTGCGCG